TTTTAAACTTTTATTATAATATATTATTGAAATCTTTATTTTTAATAAATTACAATGGAATGAATCATCTGGGTATCTTGTTCATGTGAAACTATGATAGTGTATGCAAGCTTACAAAATAGGAAAACTCGGGCAGAAAACCAAAGAAAGATGTATCACCCTAACAGCCCATTGTGCACTATTTTTTTAATAGGAGAAGGTGAAAGGATTTCAATGCAAAATAATTAATGAAATAGATTCATTTTCATGAAACGTTTTCATTTTCTTAACAAATTCGAGATTAATGCAGTACTTTCATGGAGATCCATGTAAAAAYGTATCTGAAGTTGTTGCGTTCAGATGTGAAAATGTCATGAAACGGTTGCATAATTGGTTTTGTTCTTTKTGAAATATAYKKATCATGAAATGGGTGCATAATGGAATAGATTCATGTAAAATAGTTAATAAAGTAAATTGAGATTAATGAAATAGATTCATGTAAAAAGTTAATAAAGTAAATCGAGATTAATGAAAATGTCATGAAACAGGTAATGAAATAGATTCATATAAAAAGTTAATAAAGTAAATCGAGATTAATGAAAATGTCATGAAACAGGTAATGAAATAGAGTCATAACATGTAGTATGCATAAAGTGTCATGAAACAATTGCATTAACATGTACAAAAAGGCCTAGAATAAGGAAACAAACAATTGTATAATTAAACATTTCCATAGTGAAATAAACTGAATTTTTGTTTCAATAAACATTTCCATAGTATGAATGTTAATGATTGTTTACCGTTCTACCCTTATTGATGAAATAAACTGAATTTTTATTTTTTATTTTTTTTAATTTCCATAAATAAAGCATACAAATCTTGACCATTGATCAAGAAAATGGATGGTTGAGATTGGTTTACACGGTTTACACAAATGGAGAGGGTTTTCATTTGAACGCTCCTCTATATATATATATATAGAGTTTTAAACACAAACCCTCTAATCAGTACACCCATATAAACCAATCAAATGAGATATCAATGGAAATAATGAAGATATTTATTATGATATGGATATTATGAAAGATGATAAAAGAGTTTATTCATTATGATTAACATTTTACCTAAATGTAAAGTACAAATTATACAACAAAGCAATCAAATTCGATATCGAATACAAAACAATTCTATAAAAATCGAATGGTGTCTTTGTGTTCCTAAGGTTGCATTTAACCCGTCAATTAAGAGTGTCGTTTTTCAGCCGCATATAATATCTGAACATGCAAACCCGTGTTCAGCTTCTTCTATTTGATCGTTCAAGAAAAGTTTTCGAGTATACACTATGCAGAACGGATACCTGGTTTTCACGCTGCTGCCAGTTTTCTCGAGTGGACAATGTACATTGGATCAGAACGGCTAGGATTCGGGGATATATCTACAGCCTGCACGGTTCGTAACAAAAAAAACTATTATGAAGTTGAAAAGTACGTTTATTCAGCATAAACGACATCTATTATGCATATTGCTGACCTGAGGTGGTTCAAATCCTCCGGCATAGTGAAAATATGCTCCAACTATCATAACATGATCCGAATCGCCGGTTGACGTCCATATTGATATTGCCTTTGTAAAGAAACAGCGATTCGAGAAGCTGTTCATGTGCCAAAATTATAATCCGTAACTATTCAACAATAAGTTTAGATCTGTCATAGTACCAAACATTTTGCATAAGAGGAAAGTTCTGTTAGGAACCCTAAATTGATTAGGAACTCGGAACTGCCCATAGTGCACCATGTGTCCCTCTTCAGAGTGAATATTCATCATGAATAACACATTCATGATGAGTATGTTACAACATTCATTATGAATAACACATTCACGATGAGTATGTTACAACATTCATTATGAATAACACATTCACGATGAATATGTTACAACATTCATGATGAATAACACGTCTATATTCTTGATGAATATGGAAGCATTATTTATCATGAAGCACACATTCATGATGAATATGGACGCGTCATTCATCATGAAGCATACATTCATGATAAATAACACATCTATATTCTTGATGAATATGCCACGTGTCGCGCTAGGACGGTTCTCAGGTTCCTAATCAATTTTAAGTTCCTAATGAACCTGCCGCTTTTGCATAATATCTATTTATGTCACTCAACCCCTTTGATCTTCACACTAGAGCATCTCCAACAGTGTCTCTATAATTTCTCTAAACGCATTTAATATATCAACAAACACATTATAAAATGATAATTTTCCGTCCAAAATTTTGGAGATTTCTCCAAAAATATGGAGAATTTTCTGTTCTCTCTAATGATTTCGGGATTCTGTTGGAGCCAACTTTTGGCTCGATTTTAGAGATTCTGTTGAAGATGTTTTTATGGCGTGTGAGGTTTTTAATTTAAGGTTGAACACAATTATCACCTCATTATAGCCTTTCCACCTGGCTTAAGAATCCGGCACATCTCCTTGAATACCTCAATCGGTTTTGTCAAATAATCAACGCTAACCTACAATGGGATACAACTTAGTCGCGGTCCATATCAACGTCATGTGAATTATTGACAATACGCACCACATTTGTGATAACATCAAAGGTATTATCGTCAAACGGAAGCTTAGGGTTCATGTTTAGGTCTTGCACGATGTACTCGGTGAGGACCTACAACGATACATCGTATTCACCAAATCAATGCTACGAAGATAAGAAAAGAAATTACTCCCTTCGACCCAAAGTAAATGTCAACAATAAAAGAGACGCAACAGTTTTAGAAATGTGTAATCATTACACTTTTTAATTAACTAAATAAGAGCATCTTCAACAGATTCTCTATAATTTCTTTAAAATAAAGAACCAAAAGTCTTCATTTCTGAAAAGAATTAGAATTAACTCCAACAGATTCTCCATTTTAGAGATTTCAACATCCATTATATTATTAAAATATTCCATAAATTCATAATCCCGATACACTTTTTAAAAATAATTTATATAAAATGATAATAATTCAACCTCATTGGTCGGAAGGAATAAAAAAATAATTTCTCTCTCCACACATCAAGTTTTAGAGAATTCTCTAAATTTGGAGTTTTCTCTAGTTTTATCTATTTTAGAGAACAATGTAGAGAATCTGTTGGAGCGAAAAAGACAACAAATGTCTCATTTTCTCTATTTTAGATAATATTTGGAGGTGCTCAACAATTTTACCCTTAATAATAGACGAAGTAATGAATTCCTTGACCAAAATAGCCAAATGGCTGCCTCCTATCACTTTCTAACCATTTTTTCAGTTGGACCAAAATAACAAAGATTTCGCAAATGTAAATTTTGCAGCTTGCGAAATGTCCTTGGTGGCTTCCAAAATGTCCTTGTCGGCTTGCAAAATGACCTACCAGAATCATATTTTGATGTAAAAAAATGCCTATCGGAGTTGCAAACCGGGACTTGTGATTTTTTTTTCTATTTCGGGACAATTGGGAAAAAGTGGGTTAGAAATTGATTGGTGGGATTTGGCTATTTTGGTCAATTTCCCTAATCAAGGTTAGAATTGAAAGTAGGCACTAAAAGTGGACACTTATTTTGGGACAAATTAAAATAGAAATGTGGACACTTATTTTGGAACAGAAGGAGTAAAAGGGTATTCCAATTCTTACTTTATTCGCCTTGAGCTCTTCTTCATTAAGACCCATACCCGCTATACGCTCTTGCTTATATCCTGCAGGAAAATGACTCACCCAACTGCTACACATGTCGAGAAGAGCTACCCCTGGAGTATTACTTGGAGGAAAAACCTCTTTGTAATACTTGGTAAGAGCTGCAATGGCTGGATCATCGATGTGAGTTACAAAACGTGGAGATTCATAGAAAACTAAATCCGATGATCTGCAAAAACACGAAATACCCAATTCACATTCATAACAAAACGCGCAATTTATACATATGGGATCACTATGATATACAAGATTCAAATGGCTAAATTTACGAATTTGACATTTAAAGTTGGATCAACTTCGAGAAGCTTAAGAACATTGTTGGGTGATGATGAAATGCAATGAAATTGATTAGTTTCGAAGATCGTACTCATCGAAGCGCTGGAAATCTTCTTCCTTGAAAGGAAATTTTTCTGGCCATTCTACATTCTGCAGTATCTGTAATTATGAACATGAATTCGATTAAACTTCTAAATGATTTTGATGATTATAATAAACTTCCTTCAAATGATCAAGTGTGGATTCGAACTTAAACCACTTTTGAGCATTTACCAATCACATGAATACAAAATGTTGGTGTTGAATTTGAAACAAAATTCATATCAATTTCAAATTTGGTAGATATTATGTTCATAGTTTGGATCAATTTCATCCAATTCTGAGTTCATCGTAGTAAAATAAACCCCTATGCATTGAAAATTTCAAGTTTCGAACCAAATTCATATAAGAAAACAACAACTTTCATCAAATCCCAACAAACCCTAACCTCAATTAACGGTGCAAACTCATAAACCCTAACCCTAAATTGAACGGAAATGGAATTTCCAGCTCTACAACCATAAACTTTTCATAAAAACCAACCTGTTCAACAGCACCTTTTGTCCTAGCTGATGCAATGAAAGAACTGGTGCCAGATTTACCAGCCATGCTCATGAATTGAGCCCAAAATGAAACCCCAATCCCGAACACCAACCGGCGGGTCAACCGATAACTACTTAGATTCCTAGTCCTCTTCAGTAATTGAGAACAAGAAATGGAAGCATTAGGATGAACAGCGGCCAAATTGGGGAGCCTGTGGTGTTGTAGAATGATTGGAAAACGATTGGCCATTTTTAACTGTTTATATTAGAAATTAAAGTTGGAGATAGTTCAAGTTCAAACATCAAAATTCGAATTTGGGATTGTTCTTCCTTTTTGTTAAATTTTGAAAATCATGTGGGAAGATTGATGCAATGAGTGAGTGATATGGTGGATTGTACATTTTTACGTGGCCAAACCATCTTCACTTGAAATCATATGATAAAAATGGATAACAAATATAGAGAGAGGGGTTCATAAAAACAATTAAACTGAGTTATTTTGGTTGTACAAATATGATTGGTTGTATTTAGAACATCATCTCCTTATTTATATATAATTGAAATATAAGATATACAACAAACTATTTAAAAATATATTAAAAGCGTTTATTCTTATTCTAAGGTCTCATTTAGTTTGAATGGATGTAAAAGGATTTGTATTTCAATCCCATATTTTGTTTGTTGGATTTAATTGAAATCCTTCAAATATAAGATTTTGAAATCTTTAGAGAATGTTCGGGATTTCATATGATTGTATGCAATAAGATTTTTAAAAACATTTGTTTTTAATAATCGATTAATAAAAATATGATCCAATTATTTTTATTAATTTATAATTTTTTCTATAAATCATTTTAAATAATAAAATTTAATTCAATTTTATTTTAAATCCTACACGCCAATGATTTTAAGTCTATTTCAATCTAAATCCTTAAAAAACAACCATGCAAATCAAACGGATAATTTATATGCTATGTTTATTAAACGAAAATAAACACGACGTTCTATTTCATGAAAACCGTCAAAATATAAATGGTCAACGAAAGTCAAAATACCTAAAATTAAGGGGATTCTCATGCCATATTCAACCATCACCGATCCTTGCCACCATAAACCGCCACACCTACCACCATAACCCCCTTCCCAACCCTAATCCACAATGTCCCAATCACAAACACGACTAAAATTCACAAGAAGCAATGGATTCTACATCTTCATCTCCACCTTGTTCATGGTGGTTCTTCTGGCCATCACCGCTTCATCGGCGGCCACATCGGAATTTGACCCTTCCAACAAATCAGAAGTCCTGACTCATACGCCGTCGATTGACAAACAATCTACGGCGGCTAACAAGGTGTTGAAACAGATGCAAGTCATGCAACAAAAGCTCGATGAGTTCAATCAGAGCATTAATGGACGAATCAAAGATCCAGGCACGCCACCTAAGGCGCACAGATGCTTCGTAGAGTGTAATGAAGACGTCGGTGTTGCAATTGGTGATGTTAAAAGGACCTTCATGAGCCTTGGCCTTAGTGCCCAAAACATCGATAAGGCTAGGTTGGATATTGCAGCCATTTCGAACAATATCGGAACCTGCCATGAATGTTTCGTTGAGATGGGGGAAGAAGAACCGATGGTCAAGAAAATTGATGATTGGGTTCGTGGGATCACGGATGAAGCTCTTGCATCTCTTGATGCAGCTTCAGGTTGAACAACGTGATTTCTTTCTATTGACTTGAGAAATTCTTGTGATCTGTGTTAGTGTTGTATGAAACTTTACCAATCCGTCCATAACTCAAAGTTATTAGTTTTTTTACCTTTTAATATCTGATTCGTTAAGATGTTTGGGTATCAAGACCGTTTGTTTTATTTTTAAAATTAGAAGGGTATTTGTATAATGTAGTGATATATATTTTCATTTTAGTGTTTCGTTTTATTTTTTGTCTTTGTTGGTATAATACGGTTTTACGTAGTTTTAGAAATGTTTAAATTGTCTTTATTTTTTATCTCGCTGCATTACGTGAGTACCATTCTAGTACCTCTTAATGTTTCAATTGGTTACTCGGATTCTTAAATATATAAAATTTTACATCTTAAATAGTAAAATGAAAGTTTTAAAAATACATTATCTAAAATATAAATCAAGTTAAAGTATGTTATTTTTTTATGTAATTTTCCCTATTGAAAATATAAAAATAAAGTTAATTTTAGTTTGATATAGTATATCATTTTTTTCCTTAATAGAAATTTAAACAAAAATGAATAAAGAAAAGATATTTCAATTATTACGTATGCAAACACATAAAGACATTATACACTACTCATATACATGCAACTGTGTGTGTAAATATATAATTCATAGAAGTACGAAAAAAGACAATAAATAAGGTTTCATGTGATAAAATAATCAAAAGTTGAGATGGCCGAGTTGGTCTAAGGCGCCAGATTAAGGTTCTGGTCCGAAAGGGCGTGGGTTCAAATCCCACTCTCAACATTCCTTTTGCCAATTTTTCATCATTTTATTAAAATAAAAAATTACGTTTTCAGTCCCTATGATTTGTTAAAATTACAACTCTTGTCCCTATATTTTCTAAATTTTGAAATTACGATTTCCATCCTTGTTATTTACTATTTATTTTTGTTTTTTTCTTATAATTTACAAATTTATTGCTATTTTCATCCGATTCATAATTCATTTTAGTTTTTATCCTTCATGCTTAAATGTATAATTTAGCATTAGGGACAAAGTTAGCAATAATTGTAGACCACAGGGACTATAAGTTGAAAACTGAAATGAGTAAATTATGTTTTCCATCCCTATATTTTGATTTTAAAAAAGCGACTTTTTCATCCTTATACTTACGAATCTTTTTTTTACTCTTTTCTCTAAAGCTTTTGACTACACTGCAAAATAATAAAGATAAATATACACAAATTACAAAGATGATGATGAAACATATTGTTTTTTCCTTCTAATAGAAATTAGAGCGGCCCTGAGTTGGGCTATAATTTTACATTCATTGATGAAAGACCCTAAACAACGTGAACATGTGCCTCAAAATTTTGGAGGCCCTATTCAAAATCACATATTTAACATGCTAAAGAACGGCGATGTTAGCATGCCATAGAGAATTCAATGTCAATGATTTATCGGTAACTAGCAAACGGGAACGCATTAATCGCAAGGCTCTGTTTGACAAGTGAAATATACCAAACTTATAACATTCATTGTATCGGGAAAATAGCAACTATCCCCCATGCAAAGTTGATATGAAAACGATCACGTCTTTATCTTCCAAGGTTGTATCAAGCTGACCACTCAATTCCCAGTCGCAATCATTCACGAGAACAAGAACCCCAGGTCGCCTGCACATTAGACCAGAATCAGTTCGCAATACGAGCAAGAAAGTGAAACTGAAAACGGGTTTGTTTTTAGGACCAAAAATCAAGAAACATGCAGAAACTTACACAGTGTCTCCCTTCATAAACATTTCAGGCCTCTCCTTGATTAAATTGGATCGAACCCAAGCAAGCAAGTGCTTCATAGTTAACTAAGAAACAGAGTTAACAACAATTATAAATCTAATTCGATCGTAAATGTGAAGATCCAAAAGGGGAAAAACTAGAATTTGAGTGTTGTGTTTGACAATTTAAGGAGTTGCACCTTCTTTTCTTCAGCTGGTAAGTCGACGTTGATGCTATGGATTTTCACTGAATCACAAAGAAGTTCAAGTCCTCCACTAGATTTAAAAGCAGAAATACAAATCAAAGATCATGGATGATACAAGATATGAGTACAAAGAATGCATAATGGACAAAGAATGCATAATGGCTCATTAAATGATGTCACGGAGGAAGAATAATTAGTAAGAAAAGGCCCGGCATCATATGAAATAGAATTGGTAATAAGTACAAGTGTCAAGTCTGGTACACCAGTTACACATGGCATCCCAATATACCATCATAGCAGTTGGAAAATAAAATAAAAAACAAAATTTTCTACTCCAAGTTGTGGTATTATTTCACACAAATCTTTATGGAGGCCTGTTAAGGATTAAATCGACAGAAAGCTCTAAACATGATAAACTCAGAAATCATGAAAGTGAACCTAAATGTGACAGGCTACATGGAAATGCAAGGAGGAATGACTCTATTGAAAGCAGGGTGTGGGTTAACTTAAAAGCCTAGCCTAGAGCTAGAGTCGACGTGATTCTGGATAAGAATTGCATCCAAGTGCTTATAGTAGTAGACAGCTGTTGCCCCTTGATGCAGGAATTGGTGCAATTTCCGATATCAATTTGTTATACCCTAGAAGTTGCTATTAGTTATGTTGGCTAGGGAAATCAAGGGGTAAAGTGAGAAAAGTAGCCTTTAAGAGTCTTTAAATAGGTGTGAGTGGAGAGGGCAGGGGCATCCTGTTTTGGTGATTAAATTGGCGTGAGCATTGGGAGACCCAGCCTTCGAATGCTGGTTTACCTTGTTTGTATTCATCAATTTTACTAGTGGGAATCATATGCAATCCTAAGCATTCTGCTAATCTCTGTATAAGCGTACATCACAAATGTGCAACGGTTCGGTATGCAAGACAATGGGAAAAAGTTTATTGGTGTACAAAGTTCCACCTTTTAAATAGGTTTGACGTGTGAGTGGGAGAGGGGAGGGGAATTTTATGGTGCAAACATGAGTAACCCAGAACAGGAGTTGAAGATCGCTTTTGGACAGATTTCTGTTGGATCTTAATACTGGAATGCAGCTAGTGTTAGCAGGGAACCCTAGCTGCTAGATAAGTTGCTGGAACTAATGTGGTGGCAGCAATTATAGGCAGTTAAGACACATTGAAAGCCACTCCATCGTTGCTTAAATATGTGGCAGGCTGTTTTCGTTCGACAGAAGTTTTATGAAGTTATTTATGTCCTAGTTGGTGGCATCATCCATTATGAACATGGGGAGGTCACGTGCACGAGTTTGTAACTTATATAAGCACCATTCGGGAAATTTTGTAGGTAGACTGGTCTGTCAAATCTGCACAGCCCTTTGAGTCCAATCCTTATTTACTTCCATACCAAAATCTAATCCGCCACTTTCATAGGCAACCACAACACATCTAACACCACCACCTATATCAAACCCCTACCACCACCGCAATCTCCAACAAATCGACCTCTAACAAACCCACCAGACACACCCATACAACCTCCATCAGTAGCAAAATCCTCCACCAGCAATTCGATCACAGTGGAACACATGGGACAACAAGTGAGGAAAGAGCCACTATTGGAGTAAAACGACAGCAATGTTTGCACTTAATCAGTCCCTAGTATCTACAAATATGTGTTTTCGGATCAGGAGATCTATAGTAAGATTACTTCAGATATTGTTACGATTACAGAAATGTTCATCAAGCTCGTATCAATCACCAAAATTTACAAGTGATTCAAGGGTACAATAAGTGATTCAAGGGTCAAAGCTATTCCAGGTATCAATGTATGAAAGTTCTAGCCAAAAGCGTATTTCAAGTTTTTAAATCAAGTATCAAGGATTTCAGGATGTGCATATAGCTCCGTTAGATAACAAACATTACACAAGTAAGCTTAGAAAGCTGAAAACTGTTTATGGATCATCCATTGCAAATGATGTGGTTACAATATCCATCGTAACATACCAACCACAGTTCGATAAATGAAATTTCATGAATATTGTAATTTCACAAACACGTAGACACATATGACTATCGAATTACCCGAATTCAAGCGTTAATTGCATCTTCAGTTATCCTGAAAAAAAAACCTGCAAAAGAAAAACCCTAAAAAGAGGTTTAAGGGTTCGAAGATTCAACTGAATATCCCCAAAAAAAACCTAATCTTGCCCTCCGTTGTACAAAAATCACAGAAAACGGAAAGAAACCAACCTTCGGCGTGATTTCCTGCTTCTTTGACCGCTCTTCTGCTCAAATCATAAACGAAGTGAGCGTGGAAGTGAGGCTGTTTGATTTTGGTAGAAAAGCCGCTCCCATTTTAATTTTCAATTAAAGAGTAAATCATGTTTTTAGTCCCTGTGGTTTACTAAAAATTGCAATTTTCATCCCTGTGATTTAGAAATTGCAATTTCCATTCCTATAGTTTGTAATTAGTTGCTATTTCGTCCTTCTGATTTACAATTTATCATCATTTCGGTCCCTGTTGCTTACAATTTTTTACTGCTTTGGTTTCTTGTACTTAAAGTTAGGAATTAGTCGAGAAACGAAAATAGCAATATATTACAAATTCTCATAATTCGTGTTATCAAAATATTTTTTGTGATTATTTCTATCATCCATTTTTGGTATCTTATTGAATTAAAGACGAAAATTGTAAATTTTTAAATCATAGGAACAAAATAGAAATTATTAACAAACCACAGGGACAAATATTGTAATTTTCTCTTAATTTTTCTTTTTTAAAACTTTTTAGTTCAATATAATCATTTTTACAACAGAATGTAGCATTTCAGATATTTAAATAATTACGAGATCTCAATCTCATCGGATGTAATCCAAGTCTTAAACCGAACGAAACCACTCGAGTAAAATGACTGCAGTATATATTAGTTATAACTAGAAGGGTATTCGTGCAATGCAACGAGATACATCTTGATTTTAATATTTCATTTTATTTTTTATCTCAATCGATGTTATAGTATGGTCTTATGTGATTTTGAAAATGCGATAATGTTTTTATTTTTGAATAAAAAATAAAATTGAAGATATCATAAAAATTTGATAAAAATATATCAATATTAGTATCAAATTAACTATTTAAAATTCCTATTTTTTGTGTAATTTTATAATTCAATTTTTTTATNTAATATAATTTTCTAATAAAAATTATAATTAATTATTTTGTTAGAACTCGATAATTATCCTAATTATATTTTAGATTTTTTATATTTTAAAATGAGATATTTATCCTTTAATTGGTTATGTTTATACACAGTTAGTTACACGAATTCAAATATGGAGCTTCAATAAGTTGTACTTATACATAACTTACTTGTAATATTTAATTTTAAGTAATATGCATTAATATACAGTACTTTATACATAAAAAATAGTTTTTAAGAGTTTTTGTCAAATGTTTTATAATATAGTAAAGATTTAAATATTTTTCTTATTTAATAGTTATTAATCAAGAATTCGATTTTCTTAATTAATCTCAACAAAATTGATTTTATAGATTATCGTTTCCTAATTCTTCAAACTTTTTCTTCATTGTTTGAATCATACCATAAAATCAAAACCTTATGATGAGCTAAAACAAAAATGGAGTTATATACATATTCATCTCGTTCTTCCCATTCGTCTTCACAGCGTGATGAACATTGTGTCGCCCAGATGTCGACAGTGCACCGCAACACGATTTCGTCGGTGATGCGTTAAAGCCCACGAGACCTCTACAGTGCACAACAATACGATCTCGTCGAAGATTTTGATGATGCGCTAATCCCATATTTTGTCGGAGACCTAAAACGTGTATCACAATCGTGTATCACATTGTGGTTGTGTGTGGCCTAAAACTTAGATCACATTTGTTATCAATCCATTTTCAAAAGGTTATTACAGTGGTATCACAATGTGTATCATAATTGATTTTATGTCTTACTGTTATAAAGTCTTGGGTATTACAACATGTATCATATTCATTTCGTGTTTTACTCTTAGAAATTCTTAGCCAAAGAGAGAGAGAGGGAGAGAGATTTTAAAAAGACTAATTTATCCCTATATATTATCCATAAATTTAAATTATTTGAAAATTAATGAATAATTACCAAAATTAATATATTTAATAATAATTATTGATTATTAATAATGTATGGTTAAGATTGGATCTCACAGTTATCACAAACAAACGAATTATTTCTTGATTAGACCTATATATATATATATATAGACTCAATCATTTAAAAACTCCAAAATTTGTGAGAACTTCTATATTAGAAAAAACCCATGTGAAATCACATGTTCATCAAATTAAATGAATGATTATAATTGAGTTGTATTAGTTATACAAATACAATGGATTATATAATAAATCTCTCTCTCTCTCTATATATATATATATAATGTCTCTCCCACGACTACTTTCATGATAAAAATTGCCATTCAACCCCATTTTCATACAACTCAAAAGTTCCAAACGAATCGTACAAACAACAAAATTTCTCCTACTATTTTATCTTTAAATTCGACACGAACAGAAACTATGCAATAAATTATCACTCTGTTTATCTCGTCTTTCCCGCATCTTCAACTTGACGGTTAAGCATACTAATGGGTGTTTAAGCAGCAGCATTCGGAGGGAGATTACTTTCGATATTTGAAGGCATCAAGATGTTGAAACCGTCGGCAGCTGTAGAAATGAGCATTCCCGGAATCTGTGTATGCCAATGGAGTTCTTTCAAGTCTTTCTGACCCTGTTCATCGTACCAACATGAAGTCAAACAAAAGTCAACAAGGATCGAAGGAGGTTCTAGTTTGGTACCATTGCAAACAAATCAAGATTCGAAAAGGGTAAATAACCTGATGAACGAAAAGAAGTTGTGGGGGCAAATCTGTGGGTGCGTGTACTTCCTCTTGTGTTTTGGCTTTAAATTCGGCTTCTTCTTCCTCATCTCGTTCCAAAGAAAGGTCCCATATTCTGATAATTTCATCGAGCATGATGTTATGAAACCAGGGGTTTGTAAAAATCATTCAGACGGTTTCGGGATATTCGTTAAAGAAACATCTTACGTGAGTTGGTTATCCGATGATGATACTGCCAAGGTAGACGCTTCATGTGGACTCCATTCGATGGATGTTATAGGATGTTTGTGGTACTCGAAATGCGCCACCACAGAATCACCTTCCTGCAGAAATAAAAGAGAAAGAACAAGAAAGAATAAAAATACTACTCCTTCCTTCACATAATAAATCTCCGCACTGAAAAAAACGAGTTCAAGAAATGTGTAATTACTACACTTTGTAATTAACTAAAGGACAATTGTGTCCATAATAATATAGGAGGTAATGAATTTCTCCTTCTCATGATCAAGGGTAGAATTGGAAAAACATAAACAAAAATATTTGAATGAATAGAAAATAGAGTAAACAAATCTTATTTCTCCTTAGCTTTGAGAAAAACTAAAGTTGTCTAATAAAATAAATAATTTAAAACGCCATACCTTAAGCATTCTAAGATCACGAATAGAAAACGTTCCATCATCGCTACCAGATGCCAGCATACAGCTAGCCAGCCTAATAAAACCAACAATGTGGTGACTAGATTATTAAGTGTATAGAAAAGCTTAATCGGACCAGAAAGTTACGGTACAAACCTGTTCCATGAAATAACATTGACATCCGTGTTGTGTGCCTTAATAGAAGCTGCTGGTGATTTCCCTAAACGGGTATCCCATATTGCAATAGTTGTATCCACGGAACTAGAGGCAAACACAAATGGTTCTGTAGGGCTCCACTGCATCAGAGAGAGTTGGAAAAAGCTAAAATGACGACTTGTATTGCAAAAGGTTCCAGCTGCATGTTATTTTTACTCTATTTGTTCCAAAGATAGAGACTCGAAATCAATTTGAAGTTGATTTTGGAGTCTAATTGTGTTTCTTTTTGTGAAACAAATGGAGTACTTTTATTCGTGTAAAATATGGGCAAAATGCAAAGAAGTTTGCCGAACTTCCTATTTAATATAACAAAGAATTTTTTGCTCAATCAACGTCAAAGAACTTCAAGATTTCCTATTAATGTAACAAAGTTTCAAATTTTGACCGGTAACCTGGTGAACTTGTAACATTTGATGATGTTGAAGTCAAATTTATCGTCAGCATCGCCATATACATAGTAAAACCCCTTTGAAAAAGGGTATCCACGTCATCAAATGTGTTTGCAGGTTACCGGTCAAATGGGTGCGAAATAGGAAATTTTGAAACTTTGTTACATCAATCAATTCAGGAAAAAAGAATATTCTTCGTTACACTAAATAGGAACTAAACCAAACTTTGTTGCATTTTGCGCTTTAAATATAATGGGGAAACTGCAAGTAAATATATATTGGGTCAAGAAATAATTGTTAAAATGTACACCTGCAAATCTTCAACACTAGCTGTATGTCCAACAAACGGTTTATTATCAACATTCCATGTGAGGTCAGATGCTGGCTCCCATAAGTGGATGCTATTCTTGCAGTCCCCTTAAAAATCAACAACAAAACAAAATTGTTAAACAAGATAATTCAATACAATCTTACTGAAGTTTCGCTAGAGCAAGGGCTTGTCTATTAACAACGTAATGAGCTTAATCAGATGCACAGCTTATTCGGTCAGTTGTATATGACTGTTTGGTAGTGGCTTAATGATATAGAAAGTGGATTACTCAGTAAGCTTTTAAGGGGGAGCTTTATGCAGAAAGCCAAGTTTTTTCCAAAACTTTCTCCTTCCAATTAAAATAACACTATTTCCATTTATGAAAAAGCACTACCAAACAAAAACATTCCCAATCTATAAGCACAGATTAATCCACACAGATAACTTTATCAATATAGAACTTAACGAAAAACCAACCAAACAACCCCTAAGATTTCTCTATATTGATAACAAACATCTATTTGTCACTTCATAGTTCATACCGGACACAAGCCTGCCAGGAACGAGAGGACTCCAGTCAATCGCATAGCCTTCATCCTTGTGACCAGTAAACTTAACTAAAGGAGCTTGTTTAGAAACTGTGTTAGTGTCTTTGCTAACAGTAGCTTCAGTTTCTGCCAAAGCATTTAGATGAGAGCCAAAATCCCATATCTGCATGACAAATATTGTACATTTTGTTAAGCATAATGACATAGCAACAAAAAGAACAAACAGAAGAAAGATTATAAACTTTTTGGCACGAAATATCATTAAAATTCAGTGAAGAGATGCTTGTAGGCATTTCTGTTCCCATAACAACATTAGATAAGTTGATAATCAACCACGAGTGTGCTTTTGGTACACCGAACAGGACAAAACAAAACAGAACAGGGATCATTGTTCCATGTTTGGCATGACTTTTATGTGGAATAGACAAGAACAAAGTGGATTCCACCTCCACCCCATGGAACAAGGTGGAACAAGCCTATATTTTACCAATAAAACCTAATTCTTTTCTAACACATCAAGTACATCTCCCTCTTTACATTTTATCCATTCTTTAAATTTTATTTATTGTATTTTATCCTCTTTTAAACTTTCACTTTATTTAATAATAAAAAATAATATAGAACAGGCAAAAAAATTATTGGAAATTAATAGACTTAATATTTTGGCATCATTTCAATCGTCTTGACAAAAACTTTGTAAAGATATACATTGTTATAAATAAAATATTTTATTATAATTTAATAAATTACATATATTAATCAAAAGATATAAACAATTCATTAGGGGTAAATTGGTCATGTTACCAGTCATGTCCTGTCTAGTCACGTGAAACAGCTTAAGGATGGTGATTTGCCCCAACCCGGTGGGGAACCCAACTCACCCGACCCAAACGGAGACGGGTATTCCGCACTAAAACAAGTCCCCAGGCCGGGGATCCCCGGTAGACTCAAAACGGGGCTGGGGCTGGGGGATGTTACTCAAACCGGAGTTGGGACGGGGCTGGGGATCCCCAGTAGACTCAAACTAACGGATATTCTTCATGGGGTTTGACCGGGGACGGGATGTTAATCCCCATACCCGCCGGGGACCGGGCCAGGGCTGGGGATTACAAAACTCGCCCCATCCCTGCCCCATTGTCATGCCTAAAACAGTTGTTCTGTCCTATCCTGCTCTGTCCTGTCTCGGTACCAAACGCACCCCAAGTAAACATGTTCAACAAACAAACAACAAAAAAAGGCCATCCATGCACAGTCCTTGCAATCTACCTTGCGTTGCAATAAAATCAGAAGTGGCATTGATCGTTTTCACTCTAAATCATTTACATGAACAACATCAAACCATTTTACCGAAATCGATTTTACCTGCACATGACCGGTGTCTCCCCAAGTTGCACATATATGGGGGTTTTGTGTCATTGCGCGAATCCTGTTCACACAACCTTCATGAAACACTTTGCGCAGCTGTGGATTAAAATGTACGACAATTAGAAAAGTAACGATGAAATTTAAAATCATCAATGGCAGGCATGCATTACCTGAAAGACTGGAGCCTTTGGTCCATTGTCCTCCAATTCATCATCTTCATCACTATCACTGCTATCACTGTCCATATCGGTGTCAGCATTGGATGTTTTTGTTGGTACTAGTTCCCGTCGTTTCCCAGAAATGTTTGATATTTTAAATATCCCAATCGAATTGGGAGCACCATTTGCCTAGGAGAATAAAGGCAATAACAAAAAAGGAATAAGATATTTAAGAAAACAATAAACTACACTGAACTGAGATCTATTCATAACGTACTTTTATTATAACATATCAATAAAGCATGGAACCGTTGTAGTGAGAAAAATGTTTCATAATCGACACGAAAAGTGACTTGATTACTTAATGCCAAACTAATAGCAATTGAAGTTGAAATACAAGTCAAGGTTGGCAGGTGTAGTCAGACAATGAGCACGTATTAGCAACAGATAAGTAAAGAATTCTGAAATTCCTTAAACCACGAAGTCTCATGACCTTAAATTCTTTTCCCATGTAATAAAGATACCCACAAATATGCAAAGGTATGGTAGCATCAGGTACATAAAATCTACAATCTGGTAATCTTTTCTGCAGCAACACATTCATCTGCACTAGAGATGCAGAAAAAAGCCCAAACCCGAAGCCTATCCCAAAAATCCCAGGCCTTGTAAGCCCAAGACTGGGTCCAGGCCCAACCTTAAAGCCCCATCAGACCAACGTTTTTTGCAAGCCTATTTAAATCCCAGCCCAAAAAAGACAGCCTGAAAGTCCAATTACACCCTCTTTCAACCCTGAATCTTGGCCCAGCCCGGGCCCAATAAGACTCGTCAATTTTTGTTTACTGGAAATGGGCTTGGAAAGCCAGGGCCTTGTGCGTCTCTATGCATTATAATGTTATCACCTATACAAGAATCGGATAAGCAAGGAACATATTTGCTTGAATAAACTACAACAATGACACTAACCAATAAGCATGAGTGCTAACATACCTGAGTTCCTGTGACGCAATATATAGTGTGCGGAAATTCTGTCCGAACTAACCCCAGTGAATCACGCACAACATCAAAGCTACAACAAATTAAATAAAGTTCAATTTTATAACGGAAACATTCTCAACTAGCACAACCAAACAGCAAAAAAAATGTGCCTAATCTTCCACATGAAAGTGTGATCATGTGTGGAAATTATTTCAGCCAACACAGTAAAAATGGTCATACTGGACATATTAAATTAATAGACATAACCACATAAATGTGTGTGAGTGGTTATATACAAAGTGGATATTCTTCCCTCCATGAAAAATGAAATGTCTCATTGGTCACATAGTTTGTAAAGGTGTTTGACAAATGACCGAAATTCTAAAACAAATTAATAAAATAAGAGAATCTTATGAACCAAAATCAATATCACGAACATTTTGTAATCATGAAGAACAGACAAATGGGTGAGTGTAGCTTAAACTTACCAAAAACAAAGAAGTACTGATAAAAGTACATCCCAAAATAGAGAAGTTACAATTTAGAATGATGCACCGTTGATAAATTCTTTTGATGATTTGAACATGGCTTTGAAGGTATACCCACGTAGAGATATGAAAAACTGAAGAACACCATGTAACCATTCATCCGGACAATATACACATGTGCATACAAGTAATTGAAGTTCTTGGTTTTATGCACGTGTGCATACCGGACAAATTGCTTAAAAATTACTTCTATGCACATGTTCATACTGTCCAAGATGAACTGGGTATTCCTCAGTTTTTCAGTTTTTTGTGGTTTTCACCTGAGGTTGACCGTGTATATACACACACACACATATACAGGTGTAACAAAGTTTAACTTTTATACACAAAAGGGTAAGAGGACTGATGACCAATCTTTAAAACATAGTATCGGGAATACAATGAATAACGTGAGTTTTTTGTAATAAACCTTAAGCAGGGCCAGCCAATGTGGAAGGCATGAAGAGAATTATAAGCTGAAGGATCACACTGAAGCTCTTCACCTTCCTCTAACGCATCCACACCCGGTTGCCATACCTTCGCTGGCATTGAGGGTATTGCATTGGACGAAGATGATCCATCTCCTTTCTTTGAACCCTTCGTACGTAATCAATCACAACATCAAAAACTCGTCTTTATTCACAATAAACATAATCAAATATCCTTTTCAATAAAAACATTCAAATACCTGATCGTTTGATAATTCAACACAAATAAATTAACAATGAAAAAATCAAATGACCAAAATTCTCACCTTGTTCTTTCTTTTGGCTTTCTTTGGGTTTTTCAAGCTTCGAACCATTGTTGCTTTGGCGCAAGAGTGGTATGAAGAAAGCGAATAACAGGGTTTGCTAATTGCTACAGAGGGTTTTTGGGGATTTAGGGTTTTATACAACCCGCCGAATGGTTGTAGATCGGTTTTCAGGGCTGTTATTATGTATGGACCTTAAAACGGGTCAATAATAGGCCCATCCTACATCAAGTTATATGGGCCTCCGACGGCCCGACCCAACTCAATATTCTTTTTAAGTTGGAGTAAATTCCACTTTTGGTCCCTGTAATTTGCCCAAAATCTAAAAATCATCCATATGTTTCAATAATTACAGAAATAGTCACCGTGTACATGCATTTTGCTTTGAATATGGTCCTTAACCCTAATATTGTTACTTAAAGTACCGTTTATGACAAACATATCCATTTATTTATCTTGTTTATTGAAGCAAATTTAGAATACAGGTATGAACGATGTTAAAAAAAAATAAAACAATATCATTTTTCTCTCTCCTCCCGCCCCCCTTGAACCACTTTGGCCCCGCCCCTTTGTATTTTGAGGATAATAAGCATCGAGTGTAGCGGAGGGATAAAATGGTCATTTATGTTGCTAGGGGTGAAACATTATGTTACTCAAACTAGATTGAGGTCGAGTTGTGAAGCTCTTTGGGCCCAAGATCGTCCTCCTCCTACTCGATTTATTTGTAGGACATTTGGATGTTTGGACTGAAACTCAACAAATGAGAGAGGAAACCGCTGGATTGTAGCATAGGATGCAGAGCTGGTTGTTAGAGCCCAACTGACTCGGTCTACTGCACCAAAATATAACCGAAACGAGTAACTAATATCCCAAAAATTACGAGCTCAATCTTGTAAAGACAAAAGGTCGAACGCCTAAGTCTGTCAATTCTCCGAGGGAGCAACTGTCTGAGTGGATTGAAGTAACAAGATGTTTCGGCCAACCATAACATATTTCAAGCCCCAGTTTTCTTGTGGCTTTGATATAGTATTAGCTATTTGGTCAGTTACGAAACTTTTTACCGAACTGATGCGTCCATCTTGTTTTACGGCTAGTGGAACAGTGACCCTGTGTCAATCATAATTATTATATGTTTATGGGACTTTCCACGTCATTGAGCTATGCATGTTGTTTTTTTATGCACTTACATTTACATCATTGAGCAATGCATGTCATCGTTCACATGTTTGCTTGCTATAACTCAAACAAATATCAATAAAACACCGAAAAACTTGAGATAGTGTATATGTCATTCAAACCGTTTATTCAACATAAATTCAACTTAAACCATTAAAGCAGTTTAATTAATACAATAGTTTAATGGGAAAAAAAACCCAAACAACTCTTTGTTGTTGCATACACACAACTTCTTAATACTTCGCATCTAAAATTCATATAAGTAATCGATAACCAACCGGTAAATACATTTACATACAAGATAACCGTTGAGTTATAACAATGTAACAGATAACATGAAAGGAATTGTAACCTGGTTCACATAACGGAATCTAATAGAATTAGAATTGAATTCAATGAAGTTTGGTATCACGTTTGGTTGGTATAAGTTAGAATGAATTATCTCAAGGAAATTTGGAACTTGCATGTTTGGTGTAGTGTAGGAATTGGAATGAAACAATGAATGACAATAACACTGATGCAATTTTCATAATCTTCAAATTAAATTATAAATATTCTACAACAATATAATTAATTGGCAGTATGGTGGCGATGACAACAATAGTCGCGAATGGGGGCAACGGTGGCGACAATGAAATCGGTGAAATTCAATTTCCATTCCATGTGTAAACCAAACAAACAGAAACAGTCTTGGGCGTTTATCCAAACACTTATTAATAAAAACCAACAATCTCACTTACCTTATCGGGTAGGTTTGATTCGTAAAAATGACATCGTATAGAACAATTTACCCGATAAACAGGTAATAGTTATCACATTTACCTACCGGGCAAGACATTCGATTCTTGCTGTTGCTCTTACAGGGTAAGATTACAAATAATTTGATAAGCGTTTATCGGATAAACAACACGAGACTGGCCATCTTAAACAGTGTTGAGATTTTGGGATTGCTTATTTGAAATAACTTATGCTTTTATATAAAAGTACCTATCAACTTATTATAAGTTAGAATTGGTTAACTTATTCAAAAACTTTTTGTTACCAGTTTGACACCGGTATAAATTGTTTATCCAAACAACCATCTTATAAGAATCCCTTATGCAATAACCCCCAAAATAAAATCGACATTGACAACCTAAAATAAAATTGATAGGCATAAAAAACATACCAAACATAAATCAAGATTTAGGGATTCGGATTTACGCTTACACACAAATTATTGTATTTTTGTGGGTAGTTGCAACGAAAATGGTCTTCAGACTCGTTTCCCATTTTCATCCGTCGGTCTCATACGATCTCCCCTTGATCCTCGCTGCTTAGGTATTTCTTACACACCCTTTTTCTTTCATCTATTCGCCTAAATTCCCTCGTCAGTGATTCGATCAGTGATATTCAACTGCAGGTATGTCGATCAAACTCATCATGTCTCACTCGATTTAGTCTAATAATTATAGATCTTATCGAATTCACGTGTGATATTGATTAACTTCATCGTTTGCAATTTCTGTTTAGTTTTAGATCATGGGTTTTGTTCATTGTCGATGGTAGATGAGAAAAAACTGAATCTTTATCCTTTGCAGTGTGAAATTGTTGGGGAATTCCGAGCATCTATATACAAATCGGAGTTTGATATATAGAGATCGTATCAATGGCAACTCCCGGTGGACCCAGACCAGGCAATCCACCGCCTAATTATAACCCTAATTCGATTGCTGACAATATGCAAAACCTTCAAATCAATCGCCCTAATCAACCCCCAAATCCTGGTGGTGGACCTAGAGGTCCACCTCCTCCGTTTGGCCAACAACCACAATCTCAACCATTCCCTTCATCATCTCCATTTTCAGGACCTAGTCGTCCAGGGCCTCCACCGCCAGGTGTCATTCCCAGGGGTGCAGTGCCACCTTTTACTGGATCTCCACAAGGTACATTGCCTCCTTTCATGGCCTCTAACCGTGGCAGTGGTGGCGGTGGTCCTCCTGGTAGTAACCCTCCTCCTCCATTTGCTTCAAGGCCGATGGGTTCTGGACCTTTGCCGACTCCAACAATGAGTGCTCCTATCGGTCATCCTGGTCCTCGTCCTGGTCCTTTTGCATCCTCTCCTTTGACAACAGGTCCGTCTGTTCCACCACCAATGTCAGGTGGTGGTCTATTGAGTAATGGCCCCCCATCGTTTGGACCAGGTGGTATGCAAGGTGGTCCTCAGTATCCTTCAGCTGGTGTTAGACCAAGACCATCTGCTGGACCTTCGCCTTCTCCACCAACCATGTCGTCACCTATGGGTTCTTTTTCAGGTCAAACAACGCCCTCACATCCCGGAAGTCCACCTGATAATCTTCCAAGAGGGCCAATGCCACTAGCACCCTCCTTTGGAGCACCTCCAAGAGGACCCCCAATATTTTCAGCTCAGGCTCAAGGCATGCCACAACAACAAGCTTCTCCTTTTGGGGCTCAACCATGGCAAATGCAATCTCGACAAGTAAGTTATTTATTTCAATTTTGAAAAAATTATTATCTCTAGTGTAGCTTAACTGATGGTACACTTTAATTGTTTGTGCATGAATCATCTCATTGCCAGGTGATCAATATCCACCATTATACCGAACCTTTAAGCAGCTAGTTTCAGTTCATTTTGACATCATTCGGTGTAGTTGTCCTTTTACCTTGCCATACTCCTTCGCCCAACCATAAGAATGCACAAAAAGAATTTAATTAAGATTTGGCAGTTCACGCTGTTGAATAATATTACAATATACAATACAGAATTCCCAAACAGCACAACTAAATAATGGGTATCATCTTCTTATTGAGGACTTCTGATTATGTGGTAGGTCAATATGTCCATTATGCCACCACTGAAAGCTGACTCATGAAATGGAAAGTAACCATTTGAGCAAGGGTATCTCATAAAAATGCAGTTAAAAAGACATTGCATTCTTAGAGGACACATGTTGAAATTGTTAGACACATAATTGGGTATCTATGCAGACGTGTAAGTGGCTCATTTTTGTATATAAAACACAGATTACATTTGTACTATGTGAAAAAAATTAAATTTCTTATGCTATATTATATGATATGATTACCTCTCAACGTGACTAATTTTATTTTTTTGTTGATACAACTACTCAAAGGATTGGATATATTTCTTCCAAGTTGTGTAAAATCGTTTGATGAACATAAGTTGAGAAGAGAAGCCTAATTCCTGTTTATTTTGAAACACTTAATTAAACAATTAGTTGCTAATCAAAGTGGTGGATGACACTTAATGGTTAGGGGTCCAATTAAGTGGCCTTGACTGATCGACACCTTATGGCGACATTCAATGCCTAATGCCGAGGGATTAGTGGAACACTAATTATGACTTGCTAAATTTATTTGAGGTCAATATATAAATGTGGATGATAAGAGAATGGTTTGAATTTAATTCCGAGAAGATTTAAATGGAAATAAATTCCCTGGATGGAGGAATATAATAACATATTATTTTGCGATATTGCTTGGTACTTACTGAGGAATGCCGATAGTAAGGTGTAGCGATGATTATGATGAGGAAACATCAACAAAGTCAAATTAAGGGTTATATGGTGTTCGCATTAGACCTTGCATCTGTTGACTGTCTTGTTACCGAAACTGCTTTATAAGATTATTATTTATCAGAAAGGCATAATGCGCCAAAATGCAACAAAGTTATTGTTAATTGGAACTACGGCTAAAATGGTAACCTACCATAGTTTTGACGCTTAAAGTTGTGCAAAAAGAAAGGGAACTCAAAAGTTGAATGGAGAAAGTACAGTTTTAAACATCTATAATTTACTAAGCAACCTTAAACAACTTCGTATATAATGAACATTGGCTTGCCACTTATAGAACTAGAAAATGTATATCCGTTCACACTCCACACTATCATAAGACAATGCAGCCGCACAAGGAATACAATCGTAGGAGAATACGTTTGGTGTCACACATAAGAACATAGATGAACATTTCCGTTGAAGGAACCACACACAAATGTGTCATATTGGCAAGGATGGTAGGATATTGCATTACAAGAACATCACTTTTTTTTTTACCGAAGGGCCTTTGGCCTAGTGGTATGCGAGTCTTTGGCCTCCTAGGAGGTCAGGGGTTCAAACCTCACCAAAGGTGAGGAGGGTGTGTGAGTTTATTTGTTCTATTTTCCGTATATAAATATTATATACTTAAAAAAAAAAAGAACGTCACTTTTGTTTTGACAGGTGATTGTATTGAGATTTTTTTTATATATTTACAGTGATTAGAGGCGAAAATGATTTGGAATACTTGGTTGAAGGCTGGAAAGTAACTAGTTTCAGAAGCTCACACTTAAAGAACTCAGAACCCTTGAGTCCTTGCAACTAAAAGAACCCAAAACATTGCACAAAAAGGTCCGAGTGCGTGCAGAATTTTATCCACTCAACTCAGCTTATTTACAAGCTGTCAAGTTATTTTTTGGATGCTCCACAGCTGAAAACAATTTATGATTCTATTCAACTTCAAAATTATAAAAATCTTGAACGATAAAAAAGAACTTTATTGGCCCTGGGCAACAAAATTAGAATACTAAAATGTCTTAAACAAATACTAAAACACCTAATTACTTAAGTTCACTCTGATTTGTTTATACCGATTAAATACTCTAATGTAATTACTATTTTGATTGCTGTAAACGATTAAAAACCCACAATTATGAATTAAACCATGAATCATATATGTATACCTGAATGGATAAACATATCTTTCCCGTTAGTAGCAAACACAGAAGGCCTTCTAATGCTGTGCACTTGTGGTTTCATATTCTGTTTGCAAAAGTTCCAGTAAGCTTTAAGATTGAAAAGTTTAACCGTACAGAAACTCTTCTGGTAGCCACTTGTTACTAGTAGAAGTTCTTAAAACGTAATGTGCTACCTCCATAAAAATATTACTAAATAGCTCTGCTATGCAGTTATTAATGTTCTGTAAAGGAGGTAGATTAATTAGTATTTGTGTCGGAACTCTGTCTATTTTACATGCCTATAAAAGTCACTTTTGCAGCTTAATTGCCTGGAGTATCATGTAACCTTGTTTTGAAGAATATTTACTTTTTCTGCATGCCATTTTTTTTTTTCATTTGATCACTTCGATTTTGAGAGTGAGTTCTGAATTCATTAATTTTATTAGAATGTACCACCTCCACCGATGTCTGGTTCTGCTCAACCACCAAGAATGTTTGGCATGCCACCACCACTTTCTAATCAACAATCAATGGCGACAATTTCACCAGCTATGGGTGCCGGTGGAGCCGCAGTTACAGGACCATCAAAGATCGATCCTAACCAAATTCCACGCCCTATACCGAATTCCTCGGTGCTTCTGCATGAAACTCGCCAGGGCAACCAGGCCAATCCTCCACCGGTATTTCAAGTTCTCTTAACTTGTTATCTGGCTTGTTTCTGTTCACATATCTTGCCAAGAGCAGCATCCTTGATATTTTTTTTGTATTAGCATTTGTGTTTTATTTATGACTTTCTATTTTTTAAAATTTGAAGCCTGCTACAAGCGAATTCATCGTAAGGGATACTGGAAATTGCAGTCCCCGGTACATGAGATGTACCATTAATCAGGTGATATATATTTCCTCTTAACTACTTTGTGTTTGAAATGTTGGTTGCTTGGTTTAACGTGGGATTGTTTTGTTTTCTCAGATTGCTTGCACGTCTGATCTTTTGACCACATCTGGGATGCAACTTGCTTTGTTGGTCCAGCCTTTGGCCCTACCTCATCCATCTGAGGAGCCCATCCAAGTAATGCATAAAAGATCTTTTTCTTCTAATGATTTCATGATGCATATCATTTATTGGTAAAAGATTCTGGAGGGAAGAAGCATACATAGAGTTAAAGAAAATGTCATTTCTAGAAAGAGTGTGAGAAAATGGAGAAAAACAGATCTAACTTGTTTAAGGAACACGCGCGGCCCAACATATTAAGGCTATGTTTGGCAAACTAGCTGATGAACAAATTATGTTTGGTAAAATGCCCAAAAAGGGCATCTTGAAAAATAGTCAATTACAAATATTTCATAATATAATTCAAATAAATTTATAATAATATAATTAAAACAAATTTCTAATAATATAATATTTTAATTAATACAAACAAGATAATAAAAAAAATTAAATAATATAATATGTTAACTGAAAGAATTTATAATTGATTATCATATATATACTATAAAATTTGAATTTGTTAAAACAAATTTTAGAAAAAATATATATTAAGCAATATTTTATATAACCATTATATATAATATGAATAACAATAAAATTGGTCAAAACCTCACATATCATAATTAATTAATATTTTTTCAAAAATATAATTAATAATTAAATTAAACATTTTATTAAAATTATTTAGCATATGTTAATTACGAAATAAAATAAGTATGACTTAAATTTTTGTATAACTTACATAAACAATTTTAGGATTTTTATATTTGCCTTTTGACATCTAAATATATTGAATAATAATTAAGAAAATTATTGATATAGTTATTAACATTTATAAATAATTAATAATATCTATTGTATAATTAAAATTAATTAATAATGTATAATTAAATTAACTAATAATTTGTAATTAATTTTAACTACTATAAATTAATATTTATGAATAGTTAATATTTATTTATAATTAATAAATTAATATTAATCAGGGTTATAATTGGAAAAGGGTATCAAAAAGCTCCTCATAAGCTACTCCAAGCAGCTTATCAATAAGCTAGCTTATGTGCATCTAAACGATTACTCAAAAAATAAGCTAACTTATAAGCTTGCTTATTTTACCAAACAATGCCCAGGTCCTAACTACCATCAGTTTATCTTTTGCTGTTAAATCATAGATACTTCTTAACGGCACTCCTCGTCTTTACAATTTGTGTAGTTCATGATCCTAACTTTGTAAATGGTGGCTTGTCATGACTCTTCATTGTACTATGATTATATTTATAATTTTAACTAAATTCTAAATGTTAATATTTTCAGATAGTGGATTTGGGTGAAAGTGGCCCTGTTCGTTGTTCTCGTTGCAAAGGCTACATCAATCCCTTCATGAAGTTTATTGATCAAGGAAGACGTTTTATCTGTAATTTCTGTGGTGAGTATCGACATATCCTGTTGTTGTACTTGTATGTGAGCATGCAGGTTTTCACTCTCTGTTTCCTGCTACTTTTTTGCAGGTTTTACAGATGAAACTCCCCGCGATTATCAGTGCAATCTAGGTCCAGATGGCAGACGAAGAGATGCTGATGAGAGGCCTGAGCTATGTAGAGGCACAGTTGAATTTGTTGCTACAAGGGAATTTATGGTTTGGATTACTGCTGCTTCTTGATTATAGTTTTTTTTTCCATGTTACTATTGCTCCATATATATCCAATACCTTTTGTTGCTAATTAATCATTTAGAATTTTCAAGTACTGAGCTGGTGGATTTGATAGATCATATCTTTTAACCACGTAATACCATTTGGGTGGTACTTAATTTCTTATATTTTTCCAGGTGCGTGATCCGATGCCTGCTGTGTTTTTCTTCCTCATTGATGTATCAATGAATGCCATACAGACGGGTGCTACAGCTGGAGCTTGCAGCGCCATCAGCCGAGTTATCTCTGATCTTCCAGTAAGTTTGTGTTGATTTTTGGCATGCTGAAGCTTATGAAAACATGTGACACTAATGGCCCGTTTGATCCCTGTCCGTCGCAATATATACGTTTGCTACTTCTTTTTAAATGGTTAAAAAATTGATGAACTGCTGCCTGTAAAGAGACTTGAACTCTCAACCTAAAGGAATAGAAGAGTCTTTTGTGTTGTCCGTTGACCGATCACTACTGTCTAGGGCTAAGCTATATGAATGTTTTAATGAACGGAATATTTCTCACTAAATATCCATACGGGGCAGATTTGCAGCGATGATACAATGGCCAGATAGAAAAATTTAATCTTTTGCACAAAGAAGGATTTCTAAAATCTCAACCTAATCTTGAAAGAGTGGGTAAATTTTCTCGAATGAGTTGGCTAAGGATTACTGGACTTCCATATGGATTCTGTCTGTTAATATTTCTTATGAGATTGAAAACGATTTGGGAGACCTTTTTATTGCTAAAGCATCCTATGAGCTAAGTAAATCGAACGTGTTGTTCTGTCTTTGTGAGGTTTCTTCTGCGGCTCGAATTTAAGAAGTGATTGTTCAATAATATTTGGAGGTAATTGTGCCTGTCTGGGTACCAGAATTAGAAATCGACGAATTCCTTGATTTTAAAGTGTTTGTATCTTAGAAAATCAAGGCAGATCGGAGTCGGATAATCCTTTGTTTCCCATTTCTAAATTACCTTCTTTGGATTTGGTATCTGTAATATCCCAAGCCAACCATACCAGATATTTTTTGCTCTTGTCTACACCTAGACTCACGGTTTTAAAATGTGTTTAATGGAGGAGGCATCTAGTCCCTTACAAGGCAACCTTAGTTCTTCTCCCCAAAATATGTGGGATCTTACAATCCACCCCCTTGGGAGCCCAACGTCCTCATTGGCACACAATTTGTAACATCCCACGCCAACCATAGCAGATATTGTCTGCTTTGTCTACACCTAGGCTCACAGTTTTAAAACGTGTCTGATAGAGGAGGTACCCAGTCCCTTATAAGGCAACCTTGGTTCTCCTCCTCAACCGATGTGGGATCTTAAAGTATCTTTCTGGCTTTCCCTCCTCTCTCCTATATGATCGAGATTGCCTTCGGCTCCTACACTTGGTTCCCATTTTAATCGGAACATATTCGAAAGCTCGATCTGTCAATCCCTCTCGTAGTTACCTTCTAGTGCCCTCTTAAAAGAACCTGTGATACCTCAGACACGACCAATTGCGCCCTCCCCTATTGGCCCTCCACAGCCCCATGTCACTAACTACCTAAACTCCCCTTTTATGTTATCTTTTGTGTCTAGCAAAAAAATAAGTTGTTTATAGGCTCGCCACTGCCCTGTTTTCTTGAACATGGCTCCACCTAAAAGGTGAATCGGAGTTCTGTATGTGAATCAGAAGTCCAAAACTTGTACGGCATCAATATTATTTTATTGTAATCTTCGCTTTGGTTCATAATTTTTATTTATAATAATCTGATTGGTGCAGGAGGGTCCTCGGACGATGGTTGGAATTGCTACATTTGACTCGACCATCCATTTCTACAACCTGAAGCGTGCATTGCAGCAGGTTTCTGTAATTGCTGATAACTTTTTACCACTTGCAGTTGGGTTGAAATTGGGTTATGATGAAAATGAAATAAGATCCAATTTGGTAGTTAGATAAAAATAGAAGCAAAGTATTCATTTAACCGAGGAAATTACAAAATTATAGGATTATTGCGTATGTTACAAATTCAAGTTGCAATGTTTTTGCATGATAAAGAACACTAAGGGGCTTTTTGGTTCATGCCGGGGAATGAAAATGGGAAAGATAATGAAAATGACACGGAATAAAAATGGAAAAGAATTTTCATTCCCCCTGTTAATCTGGAATGAAAATTTGGGCTTCTGGGGGAATGAGCCCATTATATTATATAATACCAACCAGTTTCTTTTATTTTCATTCCCATTGATTACTGCTTAATACCTCTAACCAAACACCTCCTAGATATATAATATAAAATAGAATGCTTAGTGTAATATTTTTTGATTTTGCTGTTGCAGCCATTGATGCTCATAGTTCCTGATGTACAAGATGTTTACACTCCTCTCCAAACTGATGTTATTGTTCAACTTTCTGAGGTTAGTCATGCCAACTATTTACTTCTTTGTGAGGGTTTACACTTGATTTAGGGGATGTGATATGTTAAGTTTAGCGAGTTTCTGTTTTCAAGAGGTTTGGAACTAATATCAAGTATAATGAATGTTGTGTTTGAGTATACAGTGTCGTCAGCATCTAGATCTGCTGCTGGAAAGCATTCCAACTATGTTTCAGAATAATAAAACAGCTGATTCAGCTTTTGGTGCTGGGATAAAGGTACTAAATTTTCTGCTTGATCTATAATATGGCCCCCCTAAAGCAGCACAACTTTCTCCTGATTTTGTTATCTATGACTCTGTCACATGATCATCATTTGTATATCACTCAGGCTGCTTTTTTGGCAATGAAGAGTACTGGAGGCAAACTTTTGGTATTTCAATCAGGCAAGCTCTTAAATTTCTGATTATATGTTTATATTGACGTCAGTGGCAGAATCATATTGATTATGTCAATATTTTACACAAAGATTATATATTTTAATTCTTATGTGTTATATGTATGTATATAATTTCTTTTTGTTATTATATGGTAGCCTGGTGAAATGATATATTTGATACCATTGAGTAATTGTTATAAAGACGAAACAGATGTATCTGTTCTAATCTTTAAATTATATTTCAGTCTTGCCTTCTGTTGGTATTGCGGCTCTTTCTGCTAGAGAAGCTGAAGGAAGAACTAATATATCTGCAGGAGAGAAGGTATAAATACGATTAATAGAAATACCCACGTGTTTTATTCTTTCTGTTGCATATGTTGCCTGCAAACTAGTGTCTACAACGGAACTTGCAAAGTATTTTTTTTCTTCCACATACAAAACCAGGTTTGGTTAACCCAAATCTTAAAGTGTTCTGTTTATTCTTAAATTTCAGGAACCTCATAAACTACTTCAACCAGCAGACAAGACTTTAAAGGAAATGGCTATTGAATTCGCGGAGTACCAGGTGAAGTTTCCCTAATTTGGATATTTTTTTAGGAAAACTTTATTTCTCTATCCCTGTTGGCTAGAAGGCCGGACCAGTTATGATACATTTCTTTTACGTATATAATTTCAATATTTCAGGTCTCTGTTGATGTATTCATTACTACCCAAAGTTATGTGGACATTGCTTCCATCTCCGTCATCCCAAGGACGACTGGAGGGCAGGTACTCATCAATGGCGCCATATTCATCTTGTCAACCATTATCATGGAGAAGTGTAATGCGTATATGCACTTGGTTGTGTACTTGTGTGCATCATATAATTTATTATGTTTTCTTTGTTCATAGTTGTAAATGCATATAAGTTGCTATAGATTCAATTTCAGCCGATCCAATAATTTTTTTCTGAAGGCCCTGTTAAAAAAATTATCAGATACTCATTCCCCTTCAAGCCTTTGGTTATTTGATGATTTTTGATTTTTTATGTTGTGATGTTCCATTTTTTACCTCCATGTAATTAGTTTTTGTGGTTTGCATGTTGATATTCTTCACCCTTTTTTCCAGGTGTACTACTATCACCCATTTTCTGCTCTTTCGGATCCTGCAAAACTCTACAATGATCTTCGGTGGAATGTCACAAGGCCACAAGGTTTTGAAGCAGTGATGCGTGTTAGAAGCAGCCAGGTGAGCTCTCTGTCCCTCCAAAATTAGCTTTGATTTTTTGTATAATAGCCACTGAAAGTGGTTAATTCTTTTATTTCTCTTCTTTTTTCCTTCAATTTTCAGGGTCTTCAAGTACAAGAATACTCCGGGAATTTCTGTAAGCGCATTCCAACAGATGTGGACCTACCTGCGGTTTGTTCCCTCCCCCTATACTCACCTTCTGATTATATAATTACACGCACATGCATTCCTATTGTTCTCTCTCTCAAGGACATTTTGCTCAATTTGGTTGTTTGTCATTTCTCTTGACCTATGTTGGCCAATGAAGATAAAGATAAAGTTTAAAAGGTTAAAACTAATATGAGACACAAAGATCTGAGAATGAGTAATTCAACTGAATCTAATCGATAGAATGTGGAACAACAGTAGAATCACAACAAATCTAGTTAAGAACAGTAGTATAGATCAATGGCGTAGTCATATGTTATTCATATATTACAAGCTGAGGGAGTTTAGATTATAGAGAGAGGAATTCTCTAGGCTCAGAGAATTTCTGTTAAAATTATGAGCAAATACCTTGGATGATTACCAATCAATACAATTACAGATGGGAAACCATCTATGTATAATACATGGCAGTTAAGTCGGTCAAAGCTTTGACAAATAGCAATTTATCACGTGCTTCAATAATTCTTCTGAATTGCACAAGTCTTCTCAGCTTGATCAGAGATCTGACTTGAGTAGAACTTCTGGTTCTTCATGATATCATGTCTGAGTTGCTATTTCAGACTTATGTGTATATCCATCCAGATCTCTGATTGTTAAGGCACAGAGCTCTGACTTGTCTGTCCCGAGATAGACTCTTCTTCAACACTTAGAATCTTCAGAGAATATCTTCTCTGATCCATCTTCAACACAAGTCTGGTTCTATCAGAAACATGTTGGTTGATGAAAGTATCATTTTTGGATGATTTATCATCAGCATTTTAGTGGTTCAGAGCACACATCGAACAAAGCAGAGGCGTAGCTAGTAGGGGGCTGGCTGGTGCTCAGCCCCCTCTAATGCTCAATATATATAGCCTATAATAGAAAATGGTAGACAAACTAATGCCATCTTAGTTGGTTAGAGCTTTTGGTGAAAGTTTACTTGAGAATACTAGGGATCAAATCCTCTTCTGCACTAAACTGAACCTTTTAAATTTCTTTCTTCATTATTTACTTTCATTATTTAATCATCAATATTTTTTACTGCTGCTTTCAACTGGTATGCATGTTTTAATCGTTTATTCACAATAAATTTTTTATATTATATTATATTCACAAGTTTTATAAAAAATATCATTACATCAAAATGAATTAATCAATATTAATATCATTGTACAAAATCCAAAAATATATAATCAAGGTTTTTATGATGCCAATGTTTGGATCATAGATCTTTTTAATGGCAATTTTCTTCTCCCGAATAATGAAGGACGGATTTTCCGTTGATGATGGTCAATAATCATGATCATCGGCCACAATTTATCCGGCTGTGTGATCCACCGGTAATGGCTTTTTGCGATGGATTACGAACGATTTTTTTCCGTCTGTTAAGCCTCTTTGTTTTGTAGTGTAAGTTCATTTCGTTTTACATCGTTTAGCCTCCCCAAAATAGAATTCTGGCTCTGCCACTGCAACAAAATCCTATAAGATCACAAAGAATCTAGTTGAACTCTAGCTTGATTAATTTACTTTCTTCCCTAATTTTTTAGCCCAACTTTAATAGTTTGAGCTTCTAGATCACCTTGCAGGGGGTGATCTTGTTTACTCCTTTCTTTATATGAAGGGGGTATGCTGTATGATTGTATTTGCAACATGTTATGTATCACTAATTTTCCAGTTAAGCAGAATGGAATTATCTGCTTCCATCTAGAACTGAGGAAATATAGAAACTTTGATTACAGAATAGTTAGAAAAAGTATAACTGCGATCAGATCTGCACACTACCATTGGTCAATCTGAATCTTCATTTAAATCCCTTTTACAATTTTCTTTCTCCCCGAAATCCCCATTTTAAAATTTAATATTAAGATATAGGTGATTCTCCTTTTACTTGTGACATCGTTTTTTATTTCTAATAATTTTGTTTTTCAGATTGATTGTGACAAATCCATCATGGTAACCCTGAAACATGACGACAAATTGCAGGACGGCACTGAATGTTCTTTTCAGGTATATATGTTTGTGCATCTATTATCATTTAATGATCTAATGAAGTTCATATTGGCCTAAATTATTTAATGATCTGATGAAGTTCATATTTGCTCGAGTTATGTATATATTTGTATATCATCAAAAACACATCCCGTTTCTTCTATAATCATATTGTGTGTTATATCTCTCAGTGTGCACTTCTTTATACTACTGTATATGGTGAAAGAAGAATACGTGTTTCAACATTGTCCTTGCCGTGCACAACCATGCTGAGTAACCTCTTCCGCTCGGCCGACTTGGATACTCAATTTTCATGTTTTCTAAAGCAAGGTAATTGATTTTTGTTGATACTCGATTGAATGCTTTTGTCTGTATCTAAATCATACCAGATTAGCTGAACTTTATTATTCACATCAACACAAATCCCTGTTCAAGAAAGAGAACCAGAACCGGAACCAGCGGTGCATCTGATTCTGTATCCTGAACAATCCCGTCCAACATAAAATGTTTGAGGTTAATTATTGATTCATTCTTCAATTTGTTACAGCGGCAAATGAAATCCTTTCAAACCCGCTACTACAAGTAAGGGAGCAAGTGACGAACCTTTGCATCAACATTCTCCATGCTTATCGCAAATTTTGTGCTACTGTGTCGTCATCAGGACAGCTTATTCTTCCAGAGGCTCTCAAATTGTTGCCTTTATACACTCTTGGTATATTCTCTTTTTGACAAATATTTTGAGAACCTGGGAACCACCTATTCATGCTTTGTTCATGATGAAGATACATGATATTCATAATGAAATGCATGATATTCATGATAAAAAAGCATGATATCAATAGTGAAAATGCATGATATTCATGATGAATAATGTTCATTATTATTCAGGGTTATTCATCATGAATAATATAAATAGTTGGTTTTCAGGTTTTAAAAAATATTTTTGGTTCTTATTTGAACTTTCACCTTCAGATTATTATATTATCTCACAAACCACACTTAAATAGAAATCAAAACATGTATATATTTTATTTAATAGATCAATTTCTTACATATATCCAGAATTAAAAGACTTTCTTGGAGGATATGTATAGTATCCATCCATTTGGTTTTTGAGACCCTATTCTTCAGGTGGGTTGATTATTATTGATCTCAATCTTTGCTCCACTTTTAGCATTGATTAAAAGTATTGGACTGCGAACCGACGGGCGGATAGATGAACGATCGTTCTGGATCAATTATGTTTTCCCTCTCTCTGCACAACTGGCAATTCCACTCGTGTACCCGAGGATGATAAGTGTTCATGACCTTAATTTAAAGGTAAAGAATGAAGTTGTCTTCTAATATTCTCAGTATGGGACCCGCCTTACTTGGTCCTTTGTTTCCGAGGTTACAGGAAACAGATGGATCTGCAATTCCACAGGCTATTCCTCTCTCAAGTGAACAAGTGAGCGAAAATGGAATCTATCTTCTTGAAAATGGTGAGGATTGCTTAATTTATATCGGAAGCTCTGCTGATCCTGATACAATTCGGCAACTGTTTGGCATTTCTTCTGCCGAAGAAGTTCCCAGTCAGGTAAACTAAAACTCCAACATTTTACCTTCTTTAGTTAATCATAGGGAAATTTCGACCCATATTCCCAAACAGGCGGATCATCTTAGAGGCCCCTTATTTTTATAACAAAAAAAATAGTACTAACTTTGTTAACCGATCTCATTCATTAAAATTTCTAATGGAAGGATGTAATTCATTTAATGGCAAATTTGTAAATTTTCAACAATGGGACGCCCTCATTTAAAAGAACATAGGTGAACAAGGGTAAATTAGTAAAGATACCTGAAGCCGGTTTAGGAAAATTAACCTCCCTAATTATTAGGGAAGTTAATTAACTTCCCTAAAAATGGATTCCCTGAAAATAGCAGATTCAACAATATACAAATGTTCACCTATGTTAAAGTAGCAGATTCATGGATCTACAGTTGGACTGAACAATTGCATAATTCACTTATGAACATTTAGGGCATTCGTTTGTGAACTTAACATAACATCATTAGATTATGAACAAATAGGCCTCCTTCCACAAGATTCATCCCTTTGTTTTAACTTACGAACAAATTTTTACTCGACTGGTGAACATTAGCTAGAGTCGATGAACGCATGTTATCCCTTAATCGGATGAACTCGATAGTAGATTGTAACCAACCGAAATATCTCCTTGATAATTCAAAATATTCAAACACAATCACATCCATAATTATCCTCCCTAAAAATAGGGATATGAATATGTAAGCGACTAAAAAATAATAAAAGAAAAAATTAGAAACACAACTACACTTGCTACTTAAATTAGGCGAGTAATGAAACCAAAAACAACCAAGACATTTGATTGGCTAATATGAGTCTGCATAGTTAACACTGTTTAAGTGGTTAACAGATGATTGGGGCTCGATCATCTTATTTGTAATTCAAAAAGAAATATTTAAGAGGAAAACCGGTCAAATGTGTCGAATGGTTTAAAGATGTCTGAAGTATAGTCAAGCAGTTATTTTTTAAATTGTTCTATTTAAAAGGATTGGATCGTAATTTTAACAGTAATTTTGTAATCATCTTTAATATATTGGTTATTTATGAAATAAAAAATTTGACGAATGGCCCTCCATAAAGATCTACTCGTTTTGACCTGAACCCGCTATCACATGTTATCCAATCTTGCCGACCTGCCGATTTTGTCACCTCTAGTCCTGATACCGGAGGATGCCAACCCCATGTGTATCATGTACTTTCTTGATCAATGTGTCCCCCCTCAGCTCACACTAGCCCCCGTCCTTTTGCTCTTCTAATGTCCAAGGATTCACACCAAGTCTTCACTGACATAATATGCATGCTTAAGTAGGGTCGGCAGAGCCGTTGTTATGCTCCCAGGTTGATGCGATGYATTCCACCAGTTGACTGAAGACTTGATTATTTGTAGACAAGTTATAGAGCAGCTATCGATAACTTTTACTCTTTCTTTCAGTTTGTATTGCAGCAATACGACAATCCTTTGTCAAAGAAGCTAAATGAGGTCATAAACGAGATCAGAAGTCAAAGGTGCAACTACCTTCGGTATGTATGATGGCTGTTGCATTTCTTTAGAATATTTTCATGTTGATTTACAAAGTGTTCTTCGTTCTTAACAATGTTTTACTTCTTGCAGCTTGAAACTATGCAAGAAAGGAGATCCATCAGGTAACATAACCATCAAACAGTTGTTTTTCTTTTTTGGGGGAAATGATACTGTAAGATCCCATAGCGGTTGGGAGGGGAACTAAGGTTGTCTTACAAGGAACTGGATACCTCCTCTATCAGATGCGTTTTAAAATCGTTAGTCCAAGTGTAGACAAAGCAGACAATATCTGGTATGGTTGGCTTGGGGTGTTACAAATGTATTAGCTGGGAACCGGAATGGTCTGCCAGCGGGGACGTTGGGCTCCCAAGGGAGTGGATTGTAAGATCCTACATCGGTTGGGGAGGGAATTAAGGTCCCTCAATAAGGGACTGGATACCTCCTCTATGAGACGCGTTTTAAAACCATGAGTCCAGGTCTGAAAAAAACGGACAATGTCTGGTACTGTTGGTCAGGGATGTTACATATACAAAATTTGTTACTCCCTCCTCCCAAAATAAGTGTCCATATTTCTATTTTAGTTTGTCTCAAAATGAGCGTCATGTTTCCTAACCAAGCGCTTGCTAATTCTACCCTTGCTTGTGAGAAAGATAAATTCATTACTACCTCTATATCATTATGGGTAGTGGATATAATTGTCTTTTTTATCAATTAAAAGTGTTATAATTACACATTTCTAAAATTTTGTACCTTTTTGTTGTGAACATTTATTTTGGCTTTTTATTTCAAACCAACCATCGTTCTTTTGACACTGCAAAATATCAAGGATGATGTTCTTTTTTGCACTTACATTTCGATAATTTGTTCATTTTTATAAACTATGGTAGTTTCTCGGTATTTTTGCAACGAGAAGTCAACGTATAACAGGTTGAGAAAGTCAAATACTTGTTTTCTTTTCGAGGTTTTGTTTCTGATATTGATTTTTTTGGTTCAGGGGTGCTGTTTTTCTCACACATGGTGGAAGACAAGTCTCCGAGTGGTCTCTCCTATGTCGAGTTCCTAGTACATGTTCATCGGCAAATTCAAAGCAAAATGACTTGATGTTTACGAGTTCTGATAGTCTTTACGAATTTGGATCGGGAGATGAAAAGGAAGCAAAGCTCCGAATGCGTTGCTTCTTCTTTTTGATGAAAACTAGTTGAGCAAAGTTTCGAAATTATAGGCCTTTTGGTTTCTTTTTATAGCTTCAATTTTCATCATTTCTGAACTTGTAGCAACTAATAAATCGTTTCGTTTGATTTGGTTTGGTTCGGTTCGGTTCGTACTCTTTTTCTTTTAAAGTGATATTTGTTCCCTTCAGTTATGTAAAAATTACAATCTTTAAACATAAAATATGACCTTTCTACCCTTATCGTCGTAGCAATAATGACCTTTTTACCCTTGGTATTGTTAACCGGTTTTGGGTAAAACTATGTAATTGGTCAGGCTGATTAATCTCAAACATGTCAGAATTTTAGTCGTATTATGTTTCGGCTTTGGATGTCGTCAAATATACATCTAGTTACATCAAAATTCAGTCAAATCATACGTTGAAAATATATTATGAACTTAAAGAGGATATCTATATTTCGCAACAAAGAAGTTGGTAATAACAAGGGCATGTCTATTAGCAACTTAATCAGTTTAATAATGCTCACAACTATACATGATTGTTTGGTAGTAGCTTAATGATATAAAAAATGGCTTATTCAGTAAACTTTTAAACGTAGCTTTACACAGAAAATAAGTTTTTTTCCAAACTTGTCCTTACAAAGCAAAACATACTCCTTTCAGGGAAAAAAAACCCCTACCCAAGACAAAAACTTGTTAGGGGTGTTTGAGATTGCTTATTTATTTATGTTTTTTTTTTGTAAATGTATCAATTTATATGGTGACAAACTGGACTTCTACAAAAGTATTTGAATTAGCTTATGGCGGTACCACACCGATAAGCTGATAAAATAGATAGAAATACTCCTTTTTTTTCTCATCCAAACACTAAAACTCCATATTGCCGGTGCAACAACGGAATAAGTTAATAAGTTAGAAGAAAGTAACTCACTTGCAACAATGGAATAAGTTAATAAGTTAGAAGAAAGTAACTCACTAAAAACTCTCTATTACCGGTGCCAAACCAGTATAAACACTTCCTTTTTTTCTCCATCCAAACACTAAAAACTCCATGTTACTGATATCTCCCGAAATAAGTTAATAAGCAATTTTAATTAAGCAATCCCAATTGCTACAAGATTTGTGAGGAATTATAGGCTCAAAAAGCACAAGAAACTGCTGGTAAATATAAATCCAAATTCAACCAACAGCAAAACAAAATACAAAACTCAAGTCTTTGATTCATGTTTCACCCCCTTTTGGTAAATTGGCAATGCTAAAGAATCAAAAAACTTCAAATGAAACGACTTCAACCCCACCCATTTCTTGGGCACCACCTCCACCACTCCACCAGCGGCAGCCACCACATTATCAACAATCTCCTCCACCTCCATTGCCCCAAATTTACCAACTTTCACCACACTACAAGTCCCATTACTTAACCACAATAAAGAACTACAAAACCCCTTTTCAATCTCCTCTTTCCAATCCCCATCTCGCCGTAATTCCACCGGCACCGGAATCTTTTTCTTCTTGTTGTAGAACACCTTCCCCAATATCTTCGGCAGCATCTCATTTATTCTCCGATCAGCTAAGAAGACATCAAATGAGTTAAAAAGTTCCATTTTTGACTCGAAAGATCTGTAATCTGATTTCAGCTTGGAAAGTTTGATGATTCTCGTGATGGGTATGCCTAAAGATTTGATCTTTTTGTCGGCGTACTCAAAGGTTAGTTTCTGGGAGTTGGGTTTTGGCCGGTCGTCGATTATGAGGCAACTGGGGGAAGATTCCGGCGAGGTGTGCAAAGAATGGAGAAGGGGTATCTTTTTAGGGCTTGTGGTGAAGTCTTTATGGGGGATTTTCTTGAGAGTTAAGAGAAGGTAGATGAAATCATCGACGTCGCCGGAAATCGGATTTTTCTGATCGGACATTTGCTTCTTTTTCCATTTAAGCAGAGAGATCACCGCTTTCCGTACGGCGTCTCGAGGAATCCTCTGCTTTGATTGAGTTTCGCCGGAGTTAACTGCAGCCATACGTAGAACAGAACTTTGCGGTTGTCGCCGGCGCGGCGGGACTAGGGTTTTGCTACCTGTGATGATTTATCACCTGCTTGAGGATTGAGGCCTTTTAAAAGGGAAATGTTTTTTGAAGATAAATTACAGTAATCGTCCCTGTACTTTAATAAAAACCTGTTTTTAGTCCTTATAGTTACAAAAACACTATTAAATTAACATCTAAACCAAACGAATCCAATAAATCTTGCTCAAAGTATGTAAACCTATACTCCACCCCAAAGAATATTCCCAGATTTGTAGTCGTATCTCGAATCCTTTTCCCTTTGGGAATGTTCGTCCTCCTCGCATCGTTACTACTTGCAAAATCAGGCCTCAATGGTAAAAACACATTTTGCGGCGAATCTTACGTTGTTTTTTGGCTACAAAGAAACCGGAAGTTCACCCGTCTCCGATTGCCAAGTCACATTACCTTACCGGATGAATATGATAACGACCAAAAATCTTACCAGATATGAGCAAGACAAGAACCAAGAGTCTTATTCGGTAAGTGAGGGCAATCACTCTTACCATGGTAAGCACTTACCGGGTAAATTGATGCATACGATACTGTTTTGATAGACTAAAATCTTGCTCGGTAAATAAATGATAATATTAAATTTTATTGGTAAACACTTACTAAGTAAGTGTTTGGTAAACGACCCCTTACTCATCCGTTTCGTTTCTTCTTCATCTCAACACTCTTGGCAGCAGCAAAGGCTGCCTCTTCTCTCTTTCTGGCTTTGTCGGCTTCACTTCTTTCCTCGTACTCCGCAAAGTACCGGTTTTCGTGGGGTCCAACAAGATAGACTCTACACTTCCTTCTCTCTCCTCTGTTTCAACGTCTCGTATGGATTCGCAACCCATGAATCGAAGTTCCGTTCCCTAGATCGAGGAAAACATCGAATGTTCGATGCCCAAAACATCTTCATATGATTATGGTCTAAACGAAACCTTATGAATTTGGTACTCGATGGTGACATTAACATCCTTTACCATCTTAGTCGACCCCGACCGCTATTGGTAGTTTTAGACAAGTTCCTTTTGAAGTATATACCCGGCCAAAGTATGGATCATGTACCGACCGTAATTCTCTGAATCTCGGGAAGTTGCCAAGATTTGCACGAATGATTCCATTGAGCTTGCAAACAAACCCTTTTAACTGAAGAAAACTTGTTCTCATTGTAACGTTTGAAGAACCTCGTATTTCTGAAGGTCCTAAAGAAAAGTCTTGCAAAAAGAAAACTTGTTTTCACTGTAGATTCAAAATATATACGGTGACACTTTTCACGACCCCAAAACTTTTTACACTACGACGGATGAACAATAACGGGCCACCGTATGCTCTGAATTAGGTTCGTCCTTGTGGGCCATGACGACAAAGCATCTTGACAAGTGGTGCTGCACTAGTGGGCTTCCACATGGTGACTGCGTTCGCATGCATTCCGACTGTACAATCGGACTGTGCGATTGCATGTTATCCGGTCGTGCGATCACATGCGTTCCGTATGCGATCGCATGTGACCTGAGTGTGCAATTGAATGCGTTCCGACTGTGCGATCCCATGCGATCCCACAAAGCTCACTCGTAAGAGGGACAAAAATAGCAAAAAAAACAATAAATTATAAATCATAAGAATAAGAATAAGAATAAGAATAAAAATAACAATTAATTGTAAAGTGTAAACCATTGAAATTCATAATTTCAAAAGCTTATGATGGAAGTAGTAATTTTCAACAAATCAAAAATTAAGTCATTTTCAAGAAATTTGATGTCAAAGTGTAGTATGTAAAACAGCTTTTGGCAAGGTTTAATATGCTCATAATACACAGTGAGTTGAAAAGCTCCATTCTACCAGGATTTTGGCCTAAAAATCTTCAGGAAATCAGTTCCATCTCCTCCATTAATCATCGGTTCGGATCATATTCTTCGAAACCGCTCTTAAATCTTTCCACCATTTTTATTTCTTCTTCCTTGCTAAGCTTGCAATTTCGCCAATCGGCCCGATCTGCCATGTTTAGCAAGCCTGCCAAAACCTGCAATTCAGAAAATGCACATACACATTACATTTTGATTCTTGAATGTCCATATTATTTCAGAGAATTTTGATACAATTGGAAGGACAAAATCCACCCACAAAAACCATCTTCTCAACTCTCAATCGTCAATCACCCTCTAACCAAAATAAACAAATCTAAAGTGTAAATAGGCAACCCGAATGCAAATCATGTTTCGTATCCAACAAAAAGGAAATTTGATGGAAAAGGTAACAGGAAGTACAAGTTTTTCGTTATGGCAATCATGAATATAGGCATTTTCTATATGGTCGTTATTTTCACGAAAAATAATATCTACGACATAGAATGTGTATATATCTTTTCCCTTTTATTTTATTTTTTGTTTTTAAGCGTATAACATAATAGAGGATCCGGGATTGTTTATTTAAAAACTCGGAATTTTTTGAAAACATTGTGAGAACCAAATATTCATAATGAATATACCTAAATCATGCACTTCCATTATTCATGATATGAACATACTTATGCAGTGAAATGTTATTATCTCACCTCACGACCAAATTGCACTGGAAATTTCTCATTCTCTTCAACTGCATGTGATAATATTGTACCCCCCGGAAGTTCCACATAGAATAAACTGCACTTTCCATCAAACTGAGTCCGCAGCAATTTCCTTCCATCAGAACTCTTGTCGCCTGTAATCAAAAGAAAATATCTAAGACTCAAGCTGGCAAAAACAGGTGAAACATTATCCCCATAAAAAAAGAACGACGATTAGAATTACATATCAAAGGGGATAGTAGTAAAACAAAATTCTTTTATTGGGTACCCAGTATAAACAAACAAACATAGCCAGACATTGCTGGCCTTAAATTTTAATCGTTCTTAATATATTAGTTGTTTTCCATGGATTTATTAGTAATGCATCCGTTGTGCTACATAAAAAAGAAAGATCTTCAAAAGCTTTTATTGTATGCATGTCAAACAGCTTATCAATATTGGCCATTTCATCGAGAAGCATTATGTATTCATTAGTAACAACTAACTTACTTTTTAACAGCATAAACTTGAATCCCAACTTTTCTGCAGCTAAATTGAAAATATCCTGAACAGCAGATGCTCTGGATAAAGGAATTGGGATAGCCTGCAATGATAAAAATATTAGGGGAAACCACGAAATCCTCATGTTCATAACATGCCAGTATGGCACCACAAACACATTCAATGCTTTATCATAAGAAGATTAGGGAAAATTTAGCTTTGAATGAGTGATATGACCACAGTGCACTCTGTGATAGTCAACGGCTTTAATTGGTTGCATAATGTGCTAGTTGAAATGCATGTCAATCACATAATAAGAGAAAAGAATATCATGTGGGAATCAGCATGGTATCAATCTTATGATGTGTATTGCATGGCGAACATATGGCAAAACAACCACAACACAACACTAATTACAGGGCAAATTCTTCACAAGATTCTGTATGATGGGTCTAAAAAAGGACCAATCTGTATGATATAGATAAATGAAAACTTTTACCTGTAGATTAGCATGAGTTCCTCTTATGTAAACCCACTCAAAGAAAACAACTTCTTTTCTCTGGTTCTTGAAATAAGCTTTGAGACTGTTCTGAAATCTAACCAGCTCAATTTCACATTCTGGAGGTGAAGAGAGTGTGTTTGGCAGATGCTCAATTGGTAATATGAGTATATGATCTTGAACCAACGGTCCTTTAGCAAGCGCACAGTAGCAGTTCTCACCAACGCTGGTGATTAGATGGGACTCCACATTTGGACTCGATAGACAAAACCAACATTCTTTGGATCTGAAATGTAGTGTAAGAGTTATAGAGAAGATCAAAAGACTGGCCATAAGAGAATGTGTACCATATACAAAAGATTTGTTCCACAATAAGATAAAAGCAATTAATGTTTGTCCTTAATTCCCAATTTACTTATAACATGTGAAGAAACGCAACAATTGTGTAATGGATTTGCCTGTGGATTATACCTGTAAATTATTTTCAAATTTTATGCGCTAGATAAATACCAACCTGCTTGAGTTTGTTCTCCCTGATCCAGCTCTCACATCACCTTCTTCCTGCAAACTGTGCTTAAAGCTGCAATCTGTACCTCTTTCACATTTTCCTTTATTCAAAAATTCAAAACATACACCTCTCCTAGATTGTTCCCTTGCATCCATATCATGACGAAAGTGACATTTTTCTCCTCGTGGGCATGAACCAGAAGAAATAAATTTAAAACACAACTTATCACCATCACCATCACCACCTCCAACCTTTCGTCGTTTCTGGGAGACATCATATCGCCAATACTGTGAATCAGAAAGACTTTCAGCAGACCTTTTGTCTGCTTCCTGGGTATCAGCTGCTCCTTCCATAAATGTGTATGGAGATGAAGTAGTATTTGGTGGCTTAGTAGATATCTCAGTAGAAGACATGGTAGATGCTGGAGTGGGAGAAATTGCATGAATAAATTTCTGAGAATCAGGAGCAGAAACCAGATGTTACAGCATGGCTAGAGAAGAAATGCATTCTACTTTAGGGCAGGCAAATGTACTCTTAGAAGTTAAGCACCACAATATCCAGTTCTGTCCAAGTTCATCACATAGAAATGATAGAATCTACATCCAATAACTATAAGAGGTTCAGTACGCAAATGCAAAAGAGATCGGTTGAGCTTTGAAATGACTTTAATGTTCTGACAATGAATTATTAAACAATGTCAAGAAAGAGGGAAAGGAAATAAAATAAATAACAGAAACATGTATTTAAATCAAAATAAAGTAGATTGATGCATGAACTAAAGCAACAAGTTAAGTTGCTAAGCGTATTAGCTTTTCCATGTTGAAGAATGAGATTGATGAGAGAACTCGATTGCTAACACTCTATACATTCCTTTAAGTTTGTCTACACATCAACTTTTTACTAATAATTCTATCCTTGTAACTTTCCAGATATGACAATTTTGAAGCAACATTCTTTTAGACAACATCTTTACATCATTTTAAGTTCAACGCTTTCCTTTTTCTAAGCATGCACTTCAAGAATCAAGATCCAATTTAGCCCAATCAAAGGAGAACATGCCAAGAAAATGAGGATTAATAGATACAAAACAGTGGGAATATTTATACTCTTGACTAAAACAAACCTGCTTAGATGCATTTCCTACTGGGGCTAGTCCTACAAAACGGGTTACATGCACAGCATCAACATTCATATACGGTTCACGAGCATAATATACTCCCTTAGCTCCTGCAACATGGTACCTACCATAAGAGCAACTTCAATCAAGATCAATCATAAATAACCACCAGTCACCATATCCAAAAAGGACAGGGCAAGACAACAAAATGATGATACGTTCTAATAATAGGAAGCAGAGATGGCCTATTCATGTATTTTCACCATCATTGTCCTAGCATCTCTCAGACAAAGTAAGTTAAAGAAGTCTCCTATGTTTTATCACCTCCTATCTATGGACAGTATAAGAAATGTGCCACTACCAATTAACACCGGATGAAACTAATAAACTTCATGTTGATGCAGGCTACAAGGATCCCCATGTATCTGCTTGACAGCAAGGTAAGGAAATGTTTTCCTTTGAAAAGAGTTCATCTAAAACCTAACACAATCAACACCGTGGAGAAGAAAGGTTCCCTTGACAAAGACCACACTTCTTCAAAGAAATGGTGGACTTGTAAACTTTTAATTGGTCACACACTTGCCAATAGGATAATACTTTTCAGATCATAACATGGTTCAATAACTAGGTGATATAAGAGAAGTTATTGTTAGAAAAATAGTTGATAGTTAGCATACCAAAATTGCTTTTACTCTTTATCAGTATGGATGATAGATATGCAGCAGTGACGCTTCCAAGACTATCCTTTATTCTAGAAATAAAATTAAATGTGCAAATAACTGCACTATGCTAATATGCTATTCAGACTACAGAAAAACATGATGTTCACGAGATATAAACAATCAATAATCTGAACCAAGTAGGAAGCCCTATTGGCCACAACTCCTTGCAAAAGCATCATATTGACCTTTTTTAAACAGCTGGATTTATCACTTACCGGGGCTTAATCTCTGCAACTATCTCTGATATTGTGGCATCACTGCCAGCTGAATCTGATATCCCCAGAGGAATATCAGATGTTGAAGCTCTATTCAAGATTCCACTGGGCCATTCATTAGTGCATGGTAATTAAGGAAGCCAAACAAAATGGCAAAACTCATAAACCCCGTAACTATAAAAAAAATAGAATGGAGTGAGAGGAAGAGGTAAAAAGGATATGTTAGGAATATGTCTATCATTTCAGGTTCCTCGGCTAATGCCCGCAGAGCATCAACGTCATCTTGATTGTACGTTCCATAAATTAGACCACTTGATGATTGCCTACCAGACAAGTATGCCACAGACAAACCTATAGATGAGTACAGTAATCAGCTATAACGGATAGGTAAATGAAATAATGAACGTTCTAGGATAACACGTATATTCTTGTGGCCAGCAATATTAAGGTCTTTATGATTAGGTCACAAACATTCATAAATCTCATAGTTGTAGTAATAAACATAAAAAGTCTTATTCAGAGCAAAAGCAATGTCTTTTATGAACTTTCAAGAAACCATACTAAATTAACACAGCTCTATCAAAAAGTGGCACGCTTTAAAAATCAGTAGAAACATCATTCAGTTATTTCAACAACTCAAACAACCACAACGTGTTATATATGTATTAGTGTATACATAAAAATGTAACCAAAACAACATCAAATTCTCATAGATAAACCAAGGCAACAGATAGACTATTATCATCTAAAATCACTGAACGGTTAGTTTCTCCATAAGTCCTAAGCTTTTCTCCAAAA